CAGCGGTCCTGCTGCGGGCGCGCCCCAGCAGAAAAAAAACTTGATGCATGCCAGATCCTCGAACCCCGCACGGTGCGCGAGCCTCTCCAACAGCGGCCCGTTCACGCCCTTTGCTACGCTACGCACCTCTGGGCTGGCCGAGAGCATCCAACGCGCAGCCGCGCCGCTGGATACCAAATCTTCGGCCTCAAACTCCATCTGGCGCACCATGGCCTCCCGGTCTGCGTTGACCTGCTCAGCCGTCCGCGCAGTGACCCAGCTCAAAGCCTCAGAGACCTCAAGGCAACAGTCTCGGCGACCGCCCGTGCGGCGAAATCCAACATATCCATGTTCGCTGCGGATTGATTTGGCACCTGCGCGCGACGCGCAAGCGCTGCGTCGCGACTCGCTGCGCGGAGCGCCCCGGCCTGGCTGAAAAGATTTGCCAGACTGCCCGCGCGGCTTCGCTGAGCCCCAGCCGCCCATGCGCGGGGCGGCGAGGGCGGCCTCGGGACTCCTTTCCGTTTTCGGGAGCCCGGTGGCCGCGGGGGAGTTGGCAGCTGCCACGTCGTGCCATGATTGCAGAAATATAGCCAGGCGATGCAAGTGTCGCGCACGCCCTGGCGCCACCACCGCCCCTGGGCGCGCCGCCCCCCGCTTCTCCGCGGCGCTGCAACGCGCGTCGGACGGTTGCAATCCGATCGCGACACACTGCAAGTCATGCGAGGCAAGTGCAGCGCACGCCCTGGCGCCACCTCCCGTGGGCGCGCCGCCCCCAGCTTCGCCGCGGCGCTGAAGCGCGCGTCGGACTCTTGTCTTGCAAACGCAAAACTGACAGAGGGCGCGGCAGGGGCCATTGCGGGAGCGCACATGGGCGCCGCGCCACTCGCGGGCTGCACTGCCCACTTCCTCAGGGCTGGCCACTGCGGGCCTTCTTGAAGGGCCTGGGCGGCGTGCGCGGCTTGCGGTCACCTGAAGCCCCGGCGGGCCTGGGCGGCGTGCGCGGCCTGCGGTCGCCAGAGGACCACGAGAAGCGGCCGCTCGACCACGTGCCGCGATCTTGCCAGTCACCGCGCGACCACGATCCGCGGCGGTCGCACTGCGTGCCCCCGCCTTTGCCGCTGCCGCTGGCACCTTTAAACCCGCCTTTGCTGGCGGCCCCTGAGCCCGCGTCGGGCTTCTCATCGCGGTCGTGCCCGTCCTCGGCCTGCGCGGCGCAGGGGCGTCGCGATCTGTCCGCGCGCAGCGCGCCCGGCCGTGCCCTTCCTGGCGCAAGACCCACGAGCTGAATTTCACCGCTGCCTTCTCCGCGTTGAAATCTTGCTCGCCGGCCCTCGTCCGCTCGGCCCACATAGACCGCGCGAACTCGCAGAGCGAAAACGGCAACGCGTTCCTGGCGCACGCTGCGCGCTGGGCCTGGTCGTAGTAAATGGCCAGGTGCGGGCGGCGCTTGTGCGCGTGGGCATTCATGGCCACGCGCATGCAAATCTCGCGATGCGCCCACGACGCCGCCAGGCTGAGCTGGCCTGTTGCGGCCGCCGCCAGCGCGTACCTGTGCGAAACGCCGACGTAATCTCGCGGCGGCGTTGCTTCGCGCGACCGCGGCGCCTGTTCCACACCGCCTGCCACTGTGACAAATTTAACAGCGTCTTGCGCTTTCCCTCTTGGCCGTTGGCCTTGATGGCGTTGGCCAGATCTAGAAGGTCCTGCAGCGAAAGCAACGCGTTTTGCTGGTTCGATCGCGAAACCAGCGCACCTTGGAGATATTGTTCTCCTTGCCCCCCTCCTGGAGGGCCTGCTAGAGAGCCGCGAATTCAGGGGGCCATTTCTTCAAATCGACCAGCGCAATCGGCGAGGCAACGCCGACCTTTTTGAGCTTGGCCGCCTCTGCGGCCAGCTCGTCCACGCGGTGTGAACTGCGCGCGCGGGGCGACGCCGACGATGTGCCGCGCGCGCGAGCCCGCGCGAGCGCCTGGGCCAGAATTCCTCGGGCAATCCCTTCACACTGATGTCAGACATCACGCCGGCGAAATCGAAGTGCGTCGCCTGCGTGGCGCCGAACACGCCGCGCGCGTGCAGCCCTGGTGGGCGCGGCACCTCGTCAGGCTTCTTTCCCGAAAGCAACGCTTTAAGCACCGCCCCTGGGTCAGCGACCCCTTGCTTCGCCGCGCCTTCCTCGGCGGCGGCGGCGGGGGCCCTGCGCGCGTGGGCTTTATGACCAGCGCCAAGGCCAGTCTCTCCCGCAGGGAACGCGAAATCCTCGATGCGGGCATCGGCGAGCTCGCGCCAGTTCCGCGCGCCGGCTGCATACAGCGCCTCAGCAATCTTGGTGTGCCAGGCTGTATCACGCCCATCGGCGCCCTCAACCTTGCGGAGCGCTTCGGTCAACGCGGTCTTCGCGGCTTCGTCCGCCATTGCAACAAAGAAACAAGCGATGCGATATTCGCGCGCGCCCTGGCGCCGCCACCCGCGGGCGCGCAACCCCCTCGCTTCGCAGCGCTTCTGAGCGGCGCGCCGGGTGTCGCGCAAAAGCCGATCGGGCAGGGGAAGCCACGCGCGAGCTGCGAAACACAAGGATGGCCTCTCGTGGGCCGCCGAGCAAAGACCCCCAGGCCAGCTGGCGAAAGCGAACCACACATGGGCTGCTGTGTACGCGGTTGGCCACTTGCGGGCCGCCGAGCGAGACTTCAGGGTCTGCTGGCAATAGCGAGCCACGCATAGGCTGCTGTGCACACGATTGGCCACTTGCGGGCCGCCGAGCGAGACTTCAGGGTCTGCTGGCAACAGCGAGCCACGCATGGGCTGCTGTGCACACGATTGGCCACTTGTGGGCCGTCGAGCGAGACTTCAGGGTCCGCTGGCAAAACGCGTCACGCGGCCACGCATGGGCAGCGTGCACGCCACAGCCCTCGCGGGGGCCCAAGCCCAGGGAGGCGAACGCACAGCGCGCAAGGCCGCGTGTGCGGACGGGCACCGCGAGGCCGCCCCTCTCCCACCCACGGCCCCGCACCCCGACCCTCCCCCCGTCCCGAGGACGAGGAGAGGGCAGGGGAGCGCGGCAGCCGTGGGAGCGGCATTCGTGCAAGCCCGCAAACGCAACGACAGTGCAAGCACTGTCCCTGAGTTTGTGGGCTCACATATACTATATATATGTTTGTATACGTGTATATAATTATATACATGTAGGTTGCATGCGCGAGGGACCGTGGGCCGCCGCGCGCGAGGCGGCCTACCCGCACCTTCCATGGAACAAAAAAACTATGGGCGACGGGGCCAGGGCCGCGCGCGCGCCCACGCGCATCTTCCAAAGAAAAAAACACCACGCGCGAGGGGCAATGGGCCGCCTCGCGCGCGGCAGCCGACGCGCATCTTGCATGGGAACAAAATACAACGCGCGTGGCGCCATGGGCCGCCGCGCGCGCGGCTGTCCACGCGCATGCGGCAGGGGGGGGCGCGAGAGGCCTGGGCCGCCGCGTGCGCGGCGGCCCGCGCCCATCTTGCATGGGGGGGAAAAAAAAACGATGCGCGAGGGACCATTGGCCGCCGCGCGCGCGGCGGCCCACGTGCATCTTGCATGGGAAAAATACGCGAACGGCAATGGGCCGCCGCGCGCGCGGCGGGGTGCATCTGATATGAGAAAAAGGGGGGAACAAAAAAACGACGCGCGAGAGGTCACGGGTCGCCGCGCGCGCGGCGGCCCACGCTCATCTCGCACGGAAAAGCACAACGCGCGGACGGCCATCGGTCGCCGCGCGCGCGGCGCTCGCGCCCCCGGTCCTGTGCTCGAGCCGCCATATCCAATCCTCCTCTGTGTGCGGGGCCTCAATATCTCTGAGCTTCGCAGGCTCATGGCAGACAGGGGCAGGCGCCTGAAATCCCCGCCCTCGTCTCCTGCGTCGCGGAGGCGGCTCCCGCGTCGACTCCTGTGTCGTGGAGGCGACTCCTGAGGCGCACGGTGGTGACATTGGTTCCCTGCAGAGCTCGCTGAAGACCACCATCCTGAACTCCTCGACGCCCGTCTCGAGCCACGGGCGCTAGACCTTTTCGGAAGCACTTCTGTCGGATCCCTGACAGAGGGGGGCCACTGCGGAGCGAAAGCCTCGGTTCAAAACTGAGCGTTCCTGGGCCATGTTGGGCCAGAGCGGTTACGGAGGTGGAGGAAGGAAAGCTGTCTGGCCCAAGGATGGGGCCAAAAGGGCAACCTAAAGGGGCTCGAAAAGATTTCGAAGCCAGGGGGGGAGATGCGCCTTGACGGCCGAAAGCCCGAGGAGGGAGCCACCTCGTCTTCAGCTCTTGCTCACCCTCAGCACCCTGGCCTTCAGCCCCCTAGGGCCACCCTGAGCCCCCCAGGCTCACCTTCAGGGCGCCGGAATAACGCATCCAGGGGGCCGAAGGCGCTATCGTTTTGCCGAGGGTGAGGGGTTCTTAACGACCAAACGCGGTTAATTCAAGGGGTCGGCGGATGAGGCGTAAGCCCACAGAATCGTTTTGAGGCTGCCGTGCAAGGGGGTACACGAGCCCCTCAATGGCGCCCGCGAGGACCCCTGGCGCGCGCGATTCAAGAAATGGTTTCGCGCCCCGCGGGGTCTATTCGCAAGCCCCGGGGGGGGGCCTCATTTGTTAATCACATGCTGACATTCCCTCAGCACCGAGCCACTCGAAGGAAGATCAGCCCCTGCAGCCGCGATGACTCCAGCGGACGCTGAAGTCAATCAAAACAGGCATGTGCAGAGCAACTGTGGAGATTGCAAGGGACCCTTGACTAGACGAAGAAAAAACTTGATAAATGTAAACTGTTGGCGCTCCGCGCGGATTTCCTGGATCTATCTGCGCTGGACCCCCCTCCCTGGCGCGCGGAGCGCGCCAGCGGCGGCGCCGGAGGCGCTGCCAGGTGGCCCCAGCGCGGATCCAAGAAATACGCGCGGAGCGCCAAAAGTCTATATTTTTAATAGCTGGGTGGCGTTTTTTCTTCTTCGACTGACACACCAGAGCCAGAAGCCGGGAAGCGGGCGTGGGCAGGCCTCTAGCGGAAGGGGGACATTGCTGGGCCAGCGCGCCGGCATTCGGCGGGGCTCACCATCCCCCTGCTCCCCTCGGCGGCGCGCCCGGGCGGAAGGCAGGGGAGCGGGCTCCCCGAGAAGGCTCAGAAGGCATCCGGGGATGCACAGAGACATACGAATACTGTGTGTCCGCCTTGGAGGCGCGCGTCCGACCCGAACATATAGTATACCCATCTTGTAGTATATCGTTTCTCGAGCGGTGTGGCCAGAAAGCGCCCGCCACGACGCATATACTACAAGATTTCTCGGTGCGCGCGTCGCCCCTGGGGGGGCGACGAACACATAGTCCGGCCTTCTGGGACAGGCGCTTCCTACAGCAGGAGCTCGACCACAAGGAACCTTCCACGGGAAACCCACTCCTGAGACCCCAGGGCGTCCATTGGTGTGGGAAGGTCGTCCCGCTGTCCACTGCAAAAACCCATCGAAACCCGAGAAACCCAGGGCACTGGCACCCTGGAGGCAAGCGGGGTGCTTCTGGGCATGGGCTTCCGCGGTAGGCCTTCTCTGAAGAGGCCCCAGGACACACAAAGAAACACACACAAATAAAATGATTCCCCATATTTTCCTATATCTTTTGAATTGTTGTCTTCCCCCCCACTTCCCATATTTTCCTACATTTTCCTGGGAGTGGACGATTCATTGTGTCTGTGTGTTTTTCCCCCTCCTGATTCTCCGAAGCCACGGGGGGCCTCTCCGAGAAGCCTCGCCGCCTTCCGAGGAGGCCTGCCCCCTCTCCCCCCCCCCTCGGCGCGGCGCCGAGCCCTCCTGCTCCCCCAGGGACCCCAAGGCCTCGCCCTCGAGCCGAAGCGCCCTGGAGGCGATGCGGCGCGCACGAGCACGAGCACAGCGCGCGCGGGGGCTGGCCCGGCGAGTGGGAACCCTGGGGGGACGTTGAGGGCGGGACCCACTACGGCAGGCTTGCGTCGTGCCGCCTTCGGCCTTGGCCTCTGACGCCGCGGGGAGCGTTCAGCCTTGAACGATCGGCCGCTTCCGCAGCGTCAGATCGTTCAGCATCGCCCGATTCTGGGTCGGCGGCGGCACCGCGGGGCTCGCTCAACCATGAACGATAAGCCACTTCCGAAACGACAGATCGTTCAGCATCGACCGATTCCGGGTCGGCGGCGGCACCGCGGGGCTCGTTCAACCTTGAACGATCGGCCGCTTCCGAAGCGACAGATCGTTCAGCATCGCCCGACTCGGGGTCGCCAACGGCGTTCAATGCTGAACGCCCGCGGTGGGGTCGCCGCCGGTCGCCACGACACGAAGTTGCCGTAGTCGGGGAGGGGGGGAAGGACCGTCGTTCTGGCAATCGTGATACATCGACGATGGATCGGTGATTGGGCGCGTCCTCCGTCCTCCTCGTCCACCTCCTCGTCCGCTTCCTCTCTTCCGCCTCCTCCTCCTCCTCCTCCTCGTCCGCTGCCTCCTCGTCCGCCGCCGCCCTCCTCCTCCTCGTCCTCGTCCTCCTCCTCCTCCTCCATCTGGTTCCTGGTGGCATGAAGCCCCTGCGGGTGCTGCCTCTCACTTTTTCCTCCTCGTCCTCCTCCTCCTCCTCCTCATGGTTCCTGTCTCCTGGTGGCATGAGGTCCCTGCGGGTGCTGCCTCCCACCTCTGCCTCCTCCTCCTCCTCTTCCTCCTCCTCGGGAAACGTCGATCTGGAATCGGCGATACATCGCCGATGGATCGGTGATGGGCCCCCGATGGCGGAACCAAGCGTTCCTGGGCGGGTCTGGGCAATCAGGCCCCTGTCGGCGATGAGCGGGCTGCGCCTGTCCGCCCTCGACACTGCCCCTGGCAGGGGGGTGGAAGCAGGAGCTTCCGACGTGGTACGGCCGGACCTAAGGCATTACATCATCCTTCAAGAACATGACACCCTACGCCGCCGAAACGCCCCAGACCATAACATCACTCGAGGGTACCCTCCCCACAATATGCACAGGAACATCCGGCCACCACGAACAACATTCGGGTACCCTCCCCGAACCGACCTCGATCTGATACCTCGGTCTGACCGCAGGCGTTACCGTCGACATGTTTTGAGTTGCCAGCAGCTGCGGGTGAAACCGACGTTATGTTGCTTTGCAGAGCCAACGCCATTCTCTGCTAGGGCGTCAGCATGATCACAGACGGTCACTTCCCTTTTCTCGCTGCGGTTTCGTCCAGCCAAACCCCCCACAATGCCCCCACGGGTCGGGTGTTGTCAGCGGTGTCCCTGACCCAAGGTAACCCCAGGATCTCCAAGGAGTCCCCCACGGCCTCCAGAGCAGCCCTCACGAGGCCAAGAGGGCCCTGGGGGCTACAACATGTAACGAAAAACTGGAACGCCTTGAGCCAAGGAGACCTCTAGTAACCCCCGATCTGTGCTTGGACCCCCTGAGACAACTAAAGGGGCCCAAGGACACACAAACAAATAGACACATGCTCCAGGATGGATTCCCAATCTCTTCCAGATTTACTGGTTGTTCGTCTTCCCCTCCACTTCCCATACTTTCCATATTTCCTGGGCATCGACGATCACATTCGTGTCTGTGTGTGTGTGTGTGTTGCCCCCTCCTGAGAGACCCCTCCGCCATCCGTGCTCTTGACCCCTTGAGCTCCCCGACCCCCTCCAGCTCCCCCCTCTTCCTCCCAGCGCCATTTCATCCGTCCCTCTCTCCCGCCCGCCCCCCCTGCCCTTCCCACGGACTGGCTGCGACCCCCCCCCTCATCAAAGGTGTCCCTCGTGTACCGCACAATGCTCTCGTGCACCGTACCGTGCCTGCCGTACCGTGCTCTCGTCACGCTCGGCGTGTACGCGAGCGGCCCTTGTGCACCGCACCACGCCCGGATTCCCTGCAGGCCTCGCTCCAACGCGATGCGGTACACAATTTTGTTCGGCTCCGAGGGCCGAATGCACCGCACCACTCCTGGGTCCGAAGATCGACGACGCCTCGGGAGACGCCAACGCGGCACGGTGCATACGGGTCGTCCGCAGACTTCCTCCGCCCAGCACGGCCAGGCCAACCGCAAGAGAAGAGCAGGGGAGAACCCGCCGTGAAGCTGTGCTGCTGAACCTGCCGACCCGTGCGCGCAAGCCGGCGCAACTGAGGGGGAACGACAAGGGGGGGAACAGCCCGGGGGGGGAAGCATCGAGGGCATCCTCCTTGTCCATCACCTTCTTCTCCTCCTCCTCCTCCTTCTTTTTCTTCTCCTCCTCCTCCTCGTCCTTATCCTCCGCCTCCTCCTCCTCGTCCACTCCTTTCCCTTCTAAATAGCTTCTCCATGTCGCATCCCGAGGCCCAAGTTTTAGGACGGGCCGGGCGTTTCGCCTGAGTCTTCCTCAACGTGTATGCACGATCCTGAGCTTAAATGTTGGCAACAGCTTCAAAGATGGAGGGCGGGTAAGCTTCAAAATGTGGCTCTCGCCTTAGCGCCGCGCACATTCGCTTTAAACATTCGCAAGAATTTCACGGATTGAAGGCGGGCGGTTTTCAAAATGTGGCTCTCGCCTCAGCGCCGCGCAAATTCGTTTAAAATATTGCAAGAGCTTCACGGATTGAGGACGGGTGGTTTGCACAATGTGGCTCTCGACTTAGCGGCGCCGTGCACATTCGTTTAAACTTGCAAGAGTTTCGTGGATTGAGGACGGTTCATTTTCAAAATGTGGGGCTCTCGCCTTAGCGCCGCGCACATTCGATTATTATTATTATTATGTGCTAAGAGTTTCACGGATTCCCATGATCAGCGTACGAGAAATGGTGTTTTGGGAAGATTCAAGAGTATGAAGGTGCAACACTTACGCTGATTTGTGGTGTTGAAGTCCCAGGAGTGGCGTTCTGGCACGATTCAAGATCGTCAAGACGCAACAGTCAGGTTGATCCGTGGCGTTAGAGTCCCGAGAAAAAGGTTCTAGCATGCTTAAGGGTCTTCAAACGGTTGTGTTCGATCGATTAGAACGAGGCAGTTCCCTCAGTGGAAATGAACCGCTGTAGGGGCCTATGAAGGGGGAGCTTGGCGGGAGGGATTATTCCAACATCGCTGATGACTCTTGGGATTACACTGGTCGTCCGCCTCCTCCTCCTCCTTTTGCGCCTCTAGTTACCTCCTCGTCTGCCGTCTCCTCGTCCGCCGCCTCCTCCTCCTCCTCCTCCTCAGGAAACGTCCATCTGGAATCGGCGATACATCGCCGATAGATCGACGATAGACCCCCACAGGCGAATCCACACGGTCATGTGCGGGGTGGTGCTGCCAGGCCCCTATCGGCGATGCATGGGCGATCAGGGGTTGATGCACCCCTGGGGTTGCCTCTAGCGCTGCCCCTGACCCTTCGTCCATCCCAGAAGAGAAGGAGGAGGAGGAGCAGAACGAGGAGGAGCAGAAGGAGGAGTGTCGAAGAGGATCGAGGATAGAGCAGAAGGAGAAGGAGGAGGAGGAGAAGAAAGGAAGAGGAAGAGGAGGAAGATGAGAAGGAGGAGGAGGAGGAGGAGGGGGAGGAGGAGGAGGAGGAAGGAGAAGGGACGCTGCTCCCACTGATGCAGCAAGATCCCCACCTTCTGATGGCACGCCTTCCCCTTGGAGCCCATCCCCCCCTAGCGTTGTCCCGGACCAACTGGTGTCGCCCCCCATGTGTCGCCCCTCAGTGTCGGCCCAGAGGCCGACCCCTCTGTCCAGCCACTGAAGGGGCCCCAGAACACACAAATAAATAGACACAAATAACCATATTCCCCATATTTTCCCATATTTTCTAGGTTTTTGTCTTCCCCCACACTTCCCATATTTTCCCATATTTTCTGGGAAATCGAAGATTAATTGTGTCTGTGTGTTTCTTTCCCTCCTGAGCCACGCGCGCAGGGAGAGAGCAGCACCGCTCGGGCCCCCATCACGGTGATGACAGATGTACAGCCGGACTTGATTGGAGCGGACACGCGAGAGGACAGAGGACACTTCCGTCGGGAGCGGCCAAGAGGGGGGTGTCCAAGAGGGGGGGGTGCAAATCATGACCGGCGGCATGTGCGCGGCCCAGCGGGAGGGCCAGGGACGTAATGAAATAAGAAGAGGCGCCATGAAATCTGGGGAAATATCATGGCCCCCGCCATGATGTCCACCCCCCCCTAGTCATCACCCCCCTCTTTTCCGCCCCCGATTCCGAGGGCACCGTTGCAACAGGAGTGCAGAAGGCATGGGCCGCGAAACACAGGACACACGGATACCCTTGACTGGCAGGGTCGACCTACTAGTCAAGGCCGACTGTATGCTCTTTGTGCCGCTCTAGACGCTTGCCTGCTGTACGTGCCGCTCCAGAGGCCGCGAACGCTCGAACCGCATGGGAGTGGAGTGACGCAGAACGTGGGTGTCTCAGAACGGTGGCTGTCGAAGTCGAGGCCAGCTGTGGACGAATCGCAGGCAAGGGCTCTGAGCAAGTGCAGCGCTTGCTGGGTAGTCAAAGCCAATCTGGCGCCAATCTGGCAGGCCCAATCTGGCAAACGGGGACAATCTGGCGAGGGAGCCAACGCGAATCCAGTCTGGCGAATAACCCAAATCATCCAGTTTGGCCGGGCCAGATTGGCCCTGGGGGCCCCATCCAATCTGACAGTCTGGCTTTCGACTACCCAGTTCTACTCGGCCACGCGCAGAGGGGGGTGGGAGGAGGGGGGCAGGCTTCTTAGAGGCACCCCCGCTTCTTAGAAGGCGCGGGCCTTCTCTACAGATGTGAGGCCAGCGCATTCTAAGAGGCAGCCTGCTTCTAAGAAGCCCTCCCCCCTCCTCCCACCCCCTTGTGCGCGCCGCCAATCTACAGCCGATGCCCCCCCCCCCCCCCGATGATGGCGGTGATTGCCG